ATTCCTATGTTTATTATATTAAGATTGCAAACCAAACATATAAAAGGTAAAAATAAAGTAAAAGAAATAACTAAGAATAAGATTTACAACACTAACATGGCCGGATAAAACGGTTTGTGTGGGCGGATAATTATTGGCAAAGACACTTGCAAAATATGCGTTTAGTTCATGAAGCGTTTAAGACACATGCATACAGCATGAAATAGTAGATCAGTGGATAAAATGAACAGCCAACAACTTATCTTTCAAGTGTGAAACCGTGGCGGTTGTGATATGTCACTGTAAAGTTCCTTGAGTCGGGAGGAGAAAGAAACAGACTGTTTATTTACCTTTCTTTGTATACACGGTATGTGCGACATTGCTGTCGCGATTGTTTCGCGAAACGCAAATCACGAAGCACTCCGCTGATCACATTTATAAGACAAGTAAATACCTGGCTCGGATACTTAAAAACAAGTAAAAGACTTAATAAAATACACTAAGAATAAGTTTTAAAAATGGGCTGCGAAAACTACCCCACAAACATTATTTAGTTAGTTATTAATGAATAGGGAGAACAGCCCAGACCAGGTAAGCAGGTAAGCAAGCTCTTTAACCCAATGTCAGCGGGGTTATTTACTGCCCCCTTTAGATTTGAGTGAATTTTGTTTGATAGATGGCTCCACGTGTGTTCAGCAGCAAGGAGTGTATCAGCTGGCCCTAGTGAGCGATCCTGATACTCCCCATTCCTTGAATTCTTTCCAATACTACTAATATTGACATTGTTATCATTCTGATTGATATCATGATTATTAACCCAATGGTGCTGGGGAAAATGAACAAAAAATGGGGAAAATATTGTGCCCACTTTCTATGTTTTTCGTGAAATGTCTGCCGATAGATGGCTCTGCTAGAGCCTGATTTGAAATGGCGGGAAAAACGTATTTTTCACTAGTGCTATGAAAATCGGTGGTGATATTTTTATCATAAACATTATAATTTTTATATATTTTTTTAACATTAGTAACAGCAAAATAAGATTATGTAAAATATTTTGTAAATCAAAGAAACGGGTAAACGGGCGAGACGGGCGGTGCTCGTAACTGGCTCATTGGGGAGTTTGTACAAGTGTTGCCATCTATGCGTGAAAACAATCTAACAAGTACTCACTGTTGGCATAGCACGCACGTACACGTCATACCCGGCACCAAGGGGTTAAATTATTATCATAATATTCGCAACATCAAAGACAACGAAATAATAGAAGTGAAGTTTTCAAAAAATGAAGGAAAAGGGTAAACAGATGAGATAAATAAGACTAATAGCTGACTCCTTGGTGACTAAGCACTTGTAGAGCTATCTATGGGTAAAGACAATAGATAAACTTCTCATTACAGTGGGCATGGCATTAAAGTCATTGGGTTAAGGCGGCAGACTAATGTGTATGTATATTGTTTCGTGTTAAGTGCTGAAATGTTGCATGGAGATGGATTCCTCAGCTTACATATATATATGTATATACTGCATATACACATATATTTCTGCAACTATGTATGTCATTCGATTATTCTTTCCTTGTCCTTAGTCTACCAGCCTTAATATCATTATCCAATTATCAGTTTATATAATTACTTCATTTATTACATCTCTGAAGCATCCTCCGGTGGGAGCGGAGGCGGGGCGCACAGCAAATCTCATTTCTTACGAGAGGTTCGCCCTCCTTTCTTCTCCTCGTGACATCCTCCCCCTTTTGATCGACGCCTTTTCTTTGTGATATCACGATACATCATACCTCCCCCCCCCCCCTATGTCATGACGCGCGTATTGGAAGCTGCGATCTATTTATTGCACGAGACCTGCTCGCGCCTCGGGGTCGCCGGGGTTGTTAGGGGGAATGTACCTCAACCTCGCCCTCTTTATATGTATATATGTATACACACACACACACACACACACACACATATATATATATATATATATATATATATATAGATAGATAGATAGATAGATAGATAGATAGATATATAGATAGATAGATAGATAGATATGTATATATACATGTATATATACATGTATATGTATATATATGTATATATATATATATATATATATATATATATATATACATATATATATATATATATATATATATATATATACATATATATATATATATATATATATATATATATATATATATATATATATATATATATATATATGTATATGTATATATGTATACATATGTATACACATATATACATGTGTGTATACATATATATATACATATATATGTATATACAGTATATATGTATACATATATACACATTTATATATGTGTATACATACATGTATATATATGTATATATGTATATATATATATATATATATATATATATATATATATATATATATATATATATATATGCATATATATATACATATATATACATATATACATATAAATACATATATATGTATATATGTATATATATGTATATGAATATATGTATATATATGTATATGAATATATGTATATATGTATATATATGTATATGAATATATGTATATTTATGTATATATATGTATATGAATATATGTATATATGTATATATACACATATATACATGTGTGTGTGTGTGTGTGTGTGTTTGTGTGTGTGTACATATATATATAAATATATATATATATATATATATATATATATATATATATATATATATATTTATATATATATGTACACACACACACACACACACACACATGTATATATGTGTATATATACATATATACATATATTCATATACATATATATACATATATACATATATTCATATACATATATATACATATATACATATATTCATATACATATATATAACATATATGCATATACATATATATACATATATACATATATATGTATTTATATGTATATATGTATATATATATATATATGTATATATATATATATATATATATATATATATATATATATATATATATATATATATATATATATGTATATGTATATATATATATATATATATGTATATATATATATATATATATATATATATATATATATATATATATATATATATATATATATATATGTATATATATATATATATATATATGTATATATATATATATATATATATATATGTATATATATATATATATATATGTATATATATATATATATATATATGTATATATATATATATATATATATATATATATATATATATGTATATATATATATATATATATATATGTATATATATATATATATATATATATATATATGTATATACATATACATATATAGATACATATATATATATATATATATATATATATATATATATATATATATATATATATATATATATATATATACATAGATATACATATATACATATATATACATATATATATACATATATATATATATGTATATATGCATATATATACATGAGGTGGAAACTGAAAGATCGCAATATTAGCGAGGAATTCCAAGCCGAAATGCATAGAACCTTTAATGAGGTGGAGTTTGATGAAGGTTATTTAGACCAAAACCAACAAGTGACAGCAAATGCGAAGAGTGGGGGGAGAAGTGTGTGGCATCTCATCGGGTAAACGGAAGGTGGGAAAAGAAACCTGGTGGTGGAACGTGGAGACAGAAAAGACGGTTTTGGAAAAGAAAATTGCACTAAAGAGGTAGAAAAAACATCGGGAAGAAATGAGGACAATGAAGAATATAAGAGAGTGAACAGAACTACAAAGAAGATTGTAGCAAGAGAACAAAGAAAAGCAAAGGATGATTTATATGAGAATTTGAACTCCACAGAAGGACAAAAAGACATCTTTAGAATTGCTGCAGAAAGGGACAAGAGGACGAAAGATATTGGGCAAGTAGTGACAGTTAAGAGCAAAGATGGAAGGATACTAAAGGATGAGGAGGATATCAAGAACAGATGGAAGTCATATTTCGAAGAGCTTTACAGTGAGGAAAATGAGAGGGTACAGACAGAGAACACCAGTGCAAGGCCCCTTTAGAGAGATAACATCAGAGGAAGTGAAAGGTGCATTGAAGAGAATGAAGAGCAACAAGGCTTGTGGCCCAGTTGGGTTTCCAGTGGAGGTTTGGAAGGTGCTGGGAGATGTGAGTGTGAGTTTGCTCCAGAACTTGTTTAATAAGATCATGACATATGGGAAGGTGCCTGACGTCTGGAGGAGAAGCTCTATAACGCCCATCTTTAAAAATAAAGCTGATGTGATGGACTGCAAAAATTACAGGGGAATAAGGCTACTGTCGCATACTTTCAAAGTATAGGAAAGAATAATAGACAGTAAGTTAAGAGACCTAATTACACCAAGAGAGCCACACCCTGGATTCCTACCAGGAAAAGGAACAACAGACGCCATATTCATGCTGAAACAAGTGATGGAGAAGTACAGAGAAGGCAGGGAAAATCTCCACTTAGTCTTTATAGATTTAGAAAAAGCTTACGATAGGGTTCCACGTGATGAGTGAGTCCGTTTCTTTTTGTCAACCTCCTGGACGTCCTGACCGATGAACTTCACCTGGAGCTACCCTGTGACATTATATATGCCGACGATGTCATGATTTGCATGGCCGACACAGAGGAACTGAACCAGAAGTTAGAGGGTTGGAGAGAGAAGTTAGAGGATAGAGGACTCAGGATCAGCAGACTGAAGACGGAATGCATGAAATGCTACTTCGGAGAGGAGGATGAGCAGGAGGTGGATTTGGAAATAGACCTAGAGGTACTCACAGAGACTGATATCTTCACGTACCTAGGGTCTATGGTGCAGCATGATGGAGGGATGGAAGCAGATACAAAGTGGATAGAGGAATTGGAGGAAGTGTTCTGGAGTAATGACGGATAAGAGAATGAGCATGAGGCTAAAGAGAAGGATCCGCACTCACCTACGGAGCAGAGACCTGGGCAACCGCCAAAAGAGAAGAGGAGCGCCTGAATGTGAACGAAATGAGAATGCTGCGATGGACTTGCGGGGAGACAAGAAGGGGCAGAGTGTCTAACCGTCACATTAGAGGATTTCTACACGTCACTGAGGTGGCCAGGAAAGTGAAAGAGAGGAGATTAGTTTGGTTTGGACTTGTCGAGCGAAGAGAAGAGGAGCACTACCTGAAGTGTGTGTCAGCATTGCAAGTCCCCGGAAGAAGAAGGGCGGGAAGACCAAGGATGAGATGGAAGGATTGTGTGAGCCGGGATATGAGGGAAGCAGGATTGAACAGAGAGATGGCCCAGGATAGAAACAAGTGGAGGCGTCAATTGAGGGACCATTTCAGTGACCCCGTATAG